GGATGTGTCCTTCCCCATAGCAAACATTGAACAGCTCCTTGCTCTCCTGCTGTTAAATTGCTGCCCCTTTGCCTGCCCCATGGCTGGTCAGCATTGCACAGAGAGGCTTGTCTGGGGTAGTGGAGGAGGAACTGGTACTGACTGGCTTTGTGCCTTTCTACAGGCTGGGCCAGCCTTGCAGCGGGGCAGCAGCTCAGCCTCCCTGCACGGATCTCAGATGCGCAGCACCATCTTCCAGCTCATGATCCACACCCTGGACCCCCTGGCAGAAGGTGAGTGAAAGCTCCACACTGGAGGCACTTGGGTTTGCAGCCCTGGGTACACAGTGGTTTAACTGGGACCGCAGCCTGTGTATGTCAGTGTTTTGTGATCAGAAACTCACCCTCAGAATGCAGCTCTGAGTATCGCAGATGATGTCAGGTGAGGGGAGCTCTGTGTCCCCTCTGATGGTGTGGCTGGCAAGGACTAACACCTCACTTCTTGGCCCTGTCATATCTACTTTGCCTGTGTCAAGGTGGTTACTGCTGTGGTGGCAGCTGCTGTTGCTGGGGACCCTGCAAGCAGTGGTGTCACTGCTGTTCTCCATCTCTGCTGTCCCTTTGACTGCAGCGGCAGCAAACATGAGTTACAGGCTTCCTCCATCTCATAGCACATCACATCTTCCTTCCTCTTCTTAGCTCAGACCTCACCCCAGCCCTGAAACAGCAGTAGTCAATGCTGACTATGTTTTTGAGACTGACAGTTTGAGCAGCTCTGTCTCATTTATAAGGAGACAGGGACAGGGAGAGCTCATTACCAGCACCCAGTCCCTCACAAGGCATAAACCTGAAGAAGAGGAAAAAGAGACTAAACCCCCAGAATTATCATTTTGACAGTAGTTAAAATCCCAGCTGAGATTAAAAACAAAAAACAAGTTCCAATTATGATGGCTAGGCCCATTCTCTGTGATTGACTGCCACTGAGCACCCCTAAATGCCCACCTGCACTGCTGTGGTATCATCACTGCAGTGGCCAAGCATGCCCACAGCACTGTGCAGGCAATGGACCAGCTCCCCAGGGCCTGGGAATGACCAGCTCAGGACTAAGGCCTCTAACTGCCCAGGGTGCAGAGAAGTGTCACCTCCAGACAGAGCCAGGGGCTTTGTACACAGCCTTTTAATATGTTGCTTTGTATTAACTTGAGTCTAATCACACTGTGGAGGTTCATCTTCCAAGAAATGGTGGAGCATGTCAAAAAGGCATTATTTAGATTCTCTTTCCTAGCTCAGCACAGGTCCCACCCCTCCACTGCCCTACTTGTTCTAAAGAGATTAGCTGTTGTCCATTCAAAGAGAGATTGAAGCTAAGCAGATCAACACCTCTTGTGTCCCTCACAGAGGTTACAAAAAGGACTCTCCAGGTCAAAATCCCAGCTCACAACTGCTTGAGGGAACAAAAGAGGTTGGATAAGGACAGAAAGACAGAGAAGTCCATGCTTTGACAGATTCTAGCGAAGGCACCAATCGTATTATGAACTGTAGCCTAACTCATCAGGGTTTGCCCTACTGCCCTTGTCTCCTGTGCCCCTCAAAGATGGTATCAACAGCACCAGGATAAACCCAAAAACTTAGAAGAGGACATGCCATTGCCTTTAGTATCAAAGTGCCAGACCTGAGGGGCTGCTGCCACTCAGAGACCTTCCAGTTCCTTCTTACCCTTCCCACACCTCTAAATGTCTCTGTGCAGCATCTGCTCACCCCAGGTCACCACACACTGGGCTTTCTGGTCCAGGCTGATGTCCTGGTGAAACCCTGGGACCTCAGCAGGAGTTTCCAGCCCAGACCAAAGAGGGCCCTAGCCAGTTCAGCCAGAATAGGCTGCTGGGATATTTCTGTGTAGTTGTAAGCCACTGACCTTGCTCAAGAAGCTGCTGTTCCCAGGTCTTGTGAACACTGAATAAATGGGACTAGGGGAGAAGTTTGGATCTTCCCTGAAAAAGAACTTCCTCTCCTATTACACAGAATTGTTAAGGCTGGAAAAGACCTCTAAAATCATCAAGCCTAACCATTCCCCCAGCACTGCCAAGGCCTCCACTAACCATGTTCCCAAGTGACACATCACACGGGTTTTAAATCCCTCCAGGGATGGTGACTCCACTACTGCCCTGGGCAGTTGTGCCAGGGCTGGACAACCCTTTTGGTGAAGAAATATTTCATGGCATCCAACCTAAACCTCCCTCGGCAGCCAGGCAGGGTGTGAGTTACTGTCTGTGTGGCAGCCACTAGATGGGAGTGTTACCATGTGCAGTTCAGTGTGCAAACGCGGATGATGTGAGGACGGGCTGCGATAGTCTCTCCAGAAGGTTGTTATTTCTTAGACCCTTTACATTATAATGCCACCGAGTTAAGGGCAAAACCTCTGTCCGAGGTACGTGCCTGTTCCACTCAACGCTGTGAGAACAACAGAGGCAGCTTCTTGTAAAAGATAACAATAAAGTTACTGATATTACAAGAGCTCAGCACTTGAAATCAAGGATCCAGTGTGCTATGTCCTGTGTGTCTTGTATGAGACACTCCTTACCCTGAAAAATTCATACCTAAAGAAAAGGGAGTCTGAAGAAAAGAAATTTATGCATAGACTGAGAATCCTAAGTGCCTTGAGAAGCTCAGCCAAATTGATGAAGTGACTTCCTTAGGATGTCTATGAAAAAGGATTTGAACCTGTCAAAGCATATCAGGACTTGTGTTCTGATATGTTAATAGTTACTACTCCGGTGTCAACAGTACTGCAGCCCTTTGGGACCCTCAGGACAGCTGTGTGCCTGGTTCCCAATGACCACCAACAAAGTCCTTCCCTTTGCTGTGTGCAGCACTGTCTGTACAGGCACATTTCTGTGACTAGGTTCAAAAATAAAAGATTATCCCAAAGCAATTTATTGTTCCTCAAGGGTCCACATTCCTTCTTGCCAAGGCCTGTAACATCAGCACTCAGAGGCTGTGGCAACAAACACTCAGCAGAAGGAAAATGTTGCCAACAATTGCTCAGCAGTTCCTGACGGAACCCAAAGCAATTAGGATCTCTGTAGGGTTTCCTTCTTTCTGCTGCTTTTGTTTTTCATTTGGGCAGCACAGAAGTGGTTTCACGGCCTCAAGGGTCCAAAACATGGAAAAGCTGCCAGCACTGGGCCTCCAAAACCACCCTTGAGAGAGAGGTCTTGGAAATAAAGCAGAAGTCTGAAATACAAACATTGTTTCACTGTTCCTAATGCAACACTCCCTGTGTGAAACAGTTTCTCATTTGAAGAGTGGATTGAGCTCAGGATGTTTGGGGTTTTTCCTTTTGTGTTAGGAAGGCATCATTACTTACGGCTTTTTTCTCTGTCTACAGGAGAAGAGGTTTACTTTAGAAGTTCTAACATTTGCATGGCATCCTAAATTATATTTTTGGTAGAGGATTTTATTTTCAATGTGCCTTGTTCTTAAAATTAGGAATTTCTAGCAACTTTGCTCTTTTCACTTTCTCTGAAAGTGTATAGAAGCAGAGCATGAAATCTTTTCAAGATCTTCCCATTAGACACCAGAGGGAACTGTTGGGGAATTAAAGGAAACAAGGAATTTGGAAATACTCAGAAACCCTCTAATTTCTGAACCTCCAGTCTTACCACCGGAATACTCTTTAAACTCTAGTCACACAGCGAAGAAAGCAGAAGACTGCTTTGCTTTTTGGATGAAGAAAAAAGCCCCAGCAGCTACTTGTCAGAGCTGCCTGCCCTCAGTATGCCCCAGTTAACAAGCTAATGATTTTGGAAATTAGACCAGCCCCGAGCAGCAGGCAGCATGGCAGGCTGCAGCTGAGTGAGGAGGCTGAAGGCAGCTACAGTTTCTCCTTGCTTCATTAGCATTCCACACTTGTAAGAGAATTGTGCTACAAAGGGGCAAAAGGAATCATGAGAAAACTTTTTTTTTTTTTGCTTCCACTTTTAGACACCAGAATCTCCAGATTCAAGGCAAATTTGAAAGAAAGAAAAAAATCCTTCCTGATGATACTGTTAGATAGTATCATAGTATGTTAAGGGTACTGAATGCAACTTTAGAGATCATCTAGTCCCAACCTTCTGCCCTGGGCAGGGACATTTCCCACCAGAGCAGGTTGCTCAAGGCTTTATCCAGCCTGGCTTTGAACACTGCCAGGGTTGGGGCAAAATTAAATGTTATGATTAAATATTAGAGAGATTAAATATTAGAGCCAAAGAGTGAATTAAGCCTAAAGGCCAAACTCAGGGTAGAAGCTCAGCTGCCACTTGGAGCCCAGTCTGGATACTGTCCTGCACAGCTAATCCAGTGCAGCAAGGACTGAGCTGGTGGATATCCTTCCTCCCCATGCTGACCTGCAGCTCTGCCCAGCTCAGCCTCCAACCTCAGTCCATTTCGTGGGAATTGTGTGTCGGAGGAATTACCACCCTTGCAAATGAGGCTGTTCTCATGAGAACTGGAGAGTGGTCTGGGCCTAGTCTGTTTATCCTGACTGAGAGATGCTCGCAGGCTCTGCTTGGGTCGGTGCTCACAGCCTGCAGCCTGGGTGAAGGCAGGGAGCCAGGAGCCTGAATTTATATAATCTCCCTCAGGCTGAGCCTCACTGCCCTGACCCTGCTGACAGAAGCTTTTACTGAACAGAAAGATGCATTGCCCAGTGCTTATAGGAGACTGGGAGCAAAAGGTCACCCCTGCATTGCCCTGCACAGAGGGATCTGCTGGTGCTTAGCATCAGCAGAAGGAAAAAGAAGCAAAATGCTTCACATCCCCTCTGAGCTTCAGTATTGACAAGTAGCATGGAAGAGTCAGGCTTTTGAGTCCCAGCCAGCCTTTCAAGGGAGAAGAAGTCATCATTTAGATTAGATATAGGGAAGAAATTCTTCCCTGTGAGGTGCTGAGGCACTGGCACAGGTTGCCCACAGAAGCTGTGGCTCCCCCCTCCCTGGAGTTGTTCAAGGCCAGGTTGGATGGGGCTTGGAGCAACCTGGGCTAGTGCAAGGTGTCCCTGCCCATGGCAGGGGGTGGAGCTGGGTGAGCCTTTGTTCCCTTCCAACCTATATTGTTCTACAATTCTGTGATCATTCCATCTCAGTCCAGGCATTCCAGTGCTCAGCAGAAATCTCAGTTGGTTCGTCAGACAGTAATGGGAACCTCACCAGAACAGGGTTTGTCCCTAGAGGTCTTAATGCCTCCTCAGCTGGATACAGTTATTGGACATAACCAGAATTTACTGATTTTCACAAGGTTCAGCTCGGAATTCTAGATCTGCCCGCATAGCTGCAGGCCTTGGACCTGCTAATTCTATTACCTCAGTATCACAGTGATGATTAAGGTGGCAGGGCCCTGCCCTTGAGGAAAATGACAGCAGCACATTCTGGTTGCATAGTCACCGGTGCAGTAGATTAAATCAATGTGATAAAACTTTCAGAGGAAATTAATTTACAGCCCTGCACACAAGCCAAGCCCAGCACAGCCAGTTCCTTGTGGCTACTGCCCATGACCAAACCCTGTGACCCTCAGCCCAGTTGCTGGGTGGGCAGCATCACAGAGGATACAGATTAGAGTAAAATGGGCCTTTTCTTTCAGCCCATTCTTGCTCACTTTCACTTGCTGGTGACAAGAGATTTGAGCACAACATCAAACTATGGAGACATGCACACAGTTTCACAGTTCACTGTAAGCCAGTCATAGAGCAGCTCAGCTGAGCAGAGCAGAACATGGCTAACAGAGGAAGAAGCCCTCAGCAATCCCAGAAATACAGCACTGACCCCTGCACTGGTAAAGATGATCTCTCAGATAGCCTGGACCATGTTGATCCTGGATACCAGAAATTTAGATCCACTCCAGCAGGGGAGACACTTCTGTATACTTAGAGGAATCAATCGTGTTCCAGGGAACTGGAACATAAAAGATTTTTATTTTCCCTTCCCATTGGGTCACCAGGCTGTGAGCAGCACCCTAAAACCTCTTCAGCAGCCACATGGCAGGAGGAAGGTATCAATTTTAGTTTGCACATAACCTAGCCTGAAAAAAAAATCAATAGTCCTTTGGGAACAAGATGATATTGCACCAGAATTTCTCCTCTGTTCTTTCTGCATTTGCTTCCTATGAAGCACAGACTGATCTGAAAGGGATTTCTCTTCCCTCTAGATTCTCTTTTAAATATGATGGTATTAGTTACATGTCAAATTGCTGGTGTAATTGCCATAGCACTAAGTATTTAAATCTAACAGCTATGACCAATTAGCTGCAGCCAAAATCCGGGGTCAGAGCCAGAAGAACTGTCAGTGCTGGCTGCAGCCCGTGCAAGGGGAAAGGGGTGAGGGTGTGTGTGTGTGTTGAGGGGAGGCAGGTAGAGGGGAGCTTTGCATGGCTGAACACATCCTTCTCATCCACAGCAAAACTGAAAGACAGGGTTGACATCCTGAGCAACATCACCAAGGCCAAGGAAGAGACTCTGGATGGACAAAGCTCACAGGCAGAAGGTGAGTGCAGTAAGACCCAGTGCTGTTTGCCTTGCTTTGCACTGCAAGCTCCCACCTTCCCAGCACACAGCACCCAAGGGCTGCGAAAGAAATGCTGTGGCCTAACACAATTTTTGTTAGCACTGGTCACAGATGGCTGCTGCAACCACACAGCACAAATCAATGGCTGTGTGCAGGCAGTAACAGCTTCCCCACAGGAGCTGCTAATGGCACAGTGTCCGGGCATGTAGTGCCACAGGGATGTACTGGAACCGGCCAGGGGGGAAGAGGGGAATCAGGTCATTGCAGACAGCACTTGGGTGCTGCTCATCTTTGGTAGACCCTGTAAATGAAGGGTTTATTAAAACAAAGTGCCTTCATTTTAGCTGGAAAATTTGGCACAGTTGCAGAAGAGCGTAAGAGGGAATTATTCTCCAGAGGGACTAAGCTGCACTGACTGTGACTTCCAATTCTAAGGGTCTGTGCATCCTTCCTTTTAATAGAATCATAGAATCCCATCATGTTTTGGTTTGTAAGGGACCTTAAGGCTCATCTTGTTTCACTCCCTGCTATAGGCAGGGACACTTTCCACCAGCCCAGGTTGCTCCATGCCCCATCCAGCCTGGTCTTGAACACTCCCAGGGATGGAGCAGCCACAGCTTCTCTGGGCAACCTGTGCTGGTCCCTTACTACCCTCACAGGGAACAATTCCTTCCCAAGATCTAATCCAAACCTTCTCTCTGTCAGTTTAATAGTTGTTGGCTTTTCTCTATCACAGCTGTCACACAGCTTTCTGAGGTGGCTCAGAGGCAGAAGTGTGCTGTGCTACCACAGGGGTTTGTGCTGTCAGTGAGGCTGGAGATTCTGAAAACCAAGAAACTTTCCTGTGGAAGGTCTCACACCTCCACACAACACAGGCACCCGAGCACCTCACAGCACTGGGCCTCACCTAGGTGAATGAACCCAAACTTGAGAAAAATTCTGTTTAAACCCCTAGTAAATTTTGGGTGTGTTTTATCAACATCACATTGACTTCACTCCCTCATCTCTGCTCTGTGTTATCCTTATTTCAACACTAGTCCACACAAAGGTTTCCGTGTTCCTCTTGGCTGTGCAGGTTAACACAGGAACACCACAGAGGACACTGCAGTTATTTCCTTGTATGTGTCAGCACTTCTCTATTTGCCTTTGAATACTCATCAAATGATCAGGGATTAAAGTCTGGCACCACGTCCCAGACATTTCTCAGAAGCCTTGAAGATCAGTTCCCTGGAGAATGCTGTGCTCTGCTGGAAAATAAAAACAAAAAAGAAGCAAAGCTTTCCATCCTTTCTGGCTTTTAAGGACAGTCTTAGTAAGACCTTCAGAATCCAGACAGAAACCAAGAAACACTCATCAGCTGTAGATGAGGTAATTAGATTTCCCTGTTGCTACACATGTGCCTCTTACAGCAGTGGTGGACAGAAGGCCACAAGAGCATCAAGGTGTCATTCTACTCCAGGTGGGTCAGATTCTGCCCAGATTTGCTAATCACAATCACAGCAGACAGAGAGGACACATAGCAAACTTTAGCAATCTGACAGCGTTTGACCTGAAATGGCACACATTTTGGTAGGGAGCTCAGACCTCCCTGCTGACCACATGACATGGTGGTCACCCATACAAGGTGACTGAAACCAGATTTCCTGCTTGTTGCTTTTTGCAGAAGAGGAAAAGAAGGCACCAAGCACCATCCAGGTAACTCCTGCCAGTGACTCTGAGCCCAGCAAAGACAAACAGAAGGCAGATGTGTCACAAGATGGACAGGTATTGAAATCAGGATCACAGGCAGTAAGTGCTCCATCCAGGCTGACCTTCACGTGTGCTTTCCTTCTTCCCTCTCTAGAGCTTTTGGGACAGGACCCAACCCCTGTCACTGGCAACTATATATAAGCTCTGTGTGTAGTGATATATTAAGGTGTTGGCTGAAATATTTTGGCTCAGAAACACAAATCAGGTCCAAAATATGACACCAACAGATACTGTAGAGAATTTTCCCCTCAAGTGACTACTGAGGTCAGAGGGTTACTCCAGGGTAAGGGAAGATATGAGTATGTGCCTGTCCTGTGCTCACCAGTACACAGTTCAGTTTTGCTCCCCAAATCCCTCCTTTCAGCTGATGCAATTTGGCAGTTCTGATGAGGAAAGGTTTTTCAAGGACAGACAGTTTTAAATACATGTGTCAAAACCCCAGCTAAAAGGTGGTTCTAGTTCATGGGTGCAGATTAATTAGCAACACACGGGTGCCGAGGTAGGGTGTGCCTGGATCCTGTCCCCCAACAGCAAGATGGGGCTGGGGCTGCTCTCAGCCACGTTACAAACGTGAGCTCTGCCCAGGTGAGGCCACAGTGAGTAAGTGCAGCTCCTTGTTAGTGTGAAAACTTACTGACTTCTGGATTTTTCATCCTGATTTACAGCCCCCATCAGGCAGTGACACCTCAGCAGAGAGCAGCTCCGAGAGTGAGGAAGACAGTGACAGCACAGACTATGATGACAACAACGAACCCTTATCTCTTGAGTGGCCAGAAACGAGGAGAAAACAAGGAATTTACCTTTTCCTCTTTCCCATTGTCTTTCCTCTGTGGAGCACTCTGCCTGACGTCAGAAACCCAGTAAGAATCTATCTTCCTTCTGCTATTTGAGTCATTAACTGAACTATAGATTTCCTCTGGGCAAGAGTCTCTGCTTACATTTTTCCATCTCTGGAGTCTTTGCATACTTGAAGTGCTGTTACTGCTGCAGGGAGTGGGACAGAAGCCTCAGCTGCAGCAGAACATAGTTTCAGAGACTTCATTTGATAAAGCACAAGTTCTAGCAACTACAGGTCATCTAATCAAGCTGAAAACCCCAAACACAATCAGAGACCAGGGCCCATGTCACAGCAATCGATTGCAGGGAAGTGTTTCAGGTGAATAGTTTTCACTGGGGATTATTAACTTGCCTTAAACTTCTCCCTGTTTTTTTTTTTTTGTTTTTTTTTTTTTTTTTACTTTTCAAACTTGATTTAAACAGGACTCCAAAAAATTCTTTGTCCTCACATTTTTCGGATCCATCCTCTGGATTGCTGTGTTCTCTTACCTCATGGTGTGGTGGGCTCATCAGGTAAGGGCTTTGTGCTCTCTTTGCAAATCACCATTTCAGAACAAGTAGATGGAGAGAGGGAACAGTGTCACCGTGGCACTTTATCTGATGAATTACAGCTGCAGCCATCCATCGCAATAGTAGAAACTTTACTTTGTTAGAACCCAAAAGGGAATTTTCAGTTTCGTTCTTTTGGATTTGACAAAGACTCATTCTTTTCCAAGAGCTTCCAAGGGAATTTGTGCCTCACTGAAAGGAAAAGTGCTGTCAAGATTTATCTTAACACTGACTTCTCATTGATGAATGTTTCTGTGCAGAACATAATTATCCATTACCTAATTAAAATTCTAGGAAAATACAGGTTCTGACTCTGGAAGCTGCTAAATGATCTCAACTCCTCCTGCCTTAATGCTCACCTGGTATTCTGGGAAATTATACTTCCCTGGTGTAGAATCAGCCCCACAATGTGTGTTCAGTGATATATTGCACACGCTCAGTAAAGCTGATCAAGCCATAAATCCAAGGACTGTCCAAAAGCCCTTGGATATTGCATAGTTGATGTTAAATTTGGAGAGGGAAAGGTGGACAACATCCAGAACAGTTGGACTGAGGACAGAAGAGTTGTGCTGTAGCTGACTTGACCTTGTTCAGTGTTGGCATCACTGTGATCAGATTCACTACACAATAGAGCAAAGTCAGGATCAACAGACACTGTGAGATGTAACTTATCAATCCTGTGAAGCAGGAAAATGCTGCCATGTTTAGGGGATTCAGAATATTTTAATTCAAATATGGCACAAACCCTAAAACTGCACAGAGCGATTATATTCCACGTTCCAGCACTAACAGCTCTGCCCAACTTCCTTCGTGTTGATTAGGTTGGTGAAACAATTGGGATCTCAGAGGAAATCATGGGGTTAACCATACTGGCAGCAGGAACATCCATCCCTGACCTCATCACCAGTGTCATTGTGGCACGGAAAGGCTTAGGTGACATGGCTGTCTCCAGCTCTGTGGGCAGCAACATCTTTGACATCACTGTTGGGTGAGTATCAGTGCTAAGAGGTGCTTTTCTTCTGAAATACAAAGTCAGCTGGTTTGAAACCATGTCTTAATTAATTCCAATCTGGCTGTAATTAAATGAAGGGCAGGTGGGCAACCAATTCCTTTAAACAAGTAAACAAGCAAACCAGCCAGGAAAGACAAACTGCTGTAACTCAGCCCACCACCTCCACCTAATTCTGCATCAACAGACAACTGCCATTTTTTCAAGACAAAAATGCAAGAAATCTTTGGCTAACATCAAAGATTTACAGGCAGGAACCTTACCTGGCCACTCAGAGACATTCAGCTCCTGTGCAGTCAAGCCTCAGTATCAGTGCCTGCATCTTCCATCATAAAGCATCAGGACATTTCTTTATTAGAGCATGCCAAGACACTTAATTCATGGCTATTATTTTAAACCCCTTTTAGCCTCTTGGATTGCATTATGACAGTGCAAGCATTATCCAAATGTAGTTTGGACAGGAACAACATCCAGTTCAGATTTATGCTCAGCTATATTGAATGCAATCATACATTTCTTTCCCTGTAACAGTGTGGAAAAATTGTTTAGTTATGATGCAGAAAATGAACTGCCTTAAAACATTTATTTCAATTACTTTTCCTTTACTTGCAGCTTGCCAGTTCCTTGGTTCCTTTTTTCTGTCCTCAACGGCCTCAGCCCAGTGGCTGTCAGCAGCAATGGTTTGTTTTGTGCAATTGTTCTCCTTTTCCTCATGCTCCTGTTTGTGATTATCTCCATTGCTGTCTGCAAATGGAAAATGAACAAGCTACTGGGGCTTACCATGTTTGCTCTTTACTTTGTGTTTCTGGTCATCAGTGTGATGTTAGAAGACAAGATAATATTCTGCCCAGTCTCTGTATGACACCTGGACACCTCGAGGTGTATGTGAGCACACAGCACCATCAAAAGGGGTTTAAGGTAGCAAATGTTTTACTGGGAAAAGGAAACAGAATCATAACAAATTTACTGAGAATAAAGTATCTTTAACATACTAAAAACTAAATAAATCTCAAGTGGTGTGTCAGCCTCTGCTAGTTTCCTTTGGGATCAGAACAGATATGAAGTGACCAATATCAGATAACACATCAGACACTCATGGAAAGGCTGATAGGATTCAGATACATGAAGTTTTAGGTACAGCTGATCCCCTCAAGCTAATGGAGCTGATTTTCAGCACAGAATATTTACTCCTTATAGAAATCTTTCAGCAACACCCTAAATTTCTCAGTGAACTGCTCAAACTCCCTGAAATCAAGAACTATACTGCAGTGGGAAGGGAATCAGACCCATGTGGCTTGCTCTGCTTAAACAGCACATGGACACACACACAGTGTCTTGGGAGTGAACTCAGATCCTTTTAACTCTGACCTGATCGTGCAAGTGCAACACAGCCCCAAACACTTAGGTTAAGTGCCACCAGTACAAGTGTGATGGCACCTGGATTTACATCTGACTGCACCAAGACTGAATGGCTGAGAGTTAGAATACCACATGGCCACAATAGCTAACACCAGGAACCAACACTGGCCCAAGGAGTTGAACTGCTGGGTCTGCTTTCACCCCAACACTAGCACCTGCCATGTACAGGTTATTGTATCCAGCACTAAGTCCTGCTGGGAGCACTGTCTTCTACAGAGACAAGATGAAGAAATGCCACTGACTTCAAACCTGAGAGGTTTATTGTTAACAACACTTCATGGGAGCAAAGCAATGCTGTTAAGAACTGCAGATATTTCTGTTGTTCTAATCCATCTAATAAAATGTTAATGAAAATAACCAGAAAGATTTTAAGCTTTTTATTGACTCACTGTAAAACTTTTATTTTTTTTTTTTGGATGAGACAGAAAAAAATTCCTTAACATTATGAACACTGACTTTGCATATTTGAAAGGAACTACAAACCAAAGCAAACATCCAACATACTGGTTTTTGGTAAATAAAATTTCAACATTACATATTTACAAATCTACAACCATTCATTTAAAAAGTGCTGCTTGCAGACTAACAAAGTACCATTTTTAAATCCCAGTGAGATATTAGCCAGAAATACCCCTCTCTACTATCACTGTTTGCATCTCCCATTTGTTACACAAAGATTTTCCACAGAGGAATTTTCTTTCTGGGGGTATAAATCATTTAATTTGCCAGTGGAAGTCAAATTCATCAGGCTGTGACTGTACCAACAGCAAACCTTCTCCAATGGGACACAGATAGCAGTGTCAGAGGAACAGCACAACTTCTATTCACATTTCAATATTTCATCTCCAATAATTATTCCAGTGGAACCATAAGTAAAGCAAAATATATATTGCACTGCAAATTTAAAACCTTTGCTGAAGGTTTTGGACATAAGCATTATTTAGTACACAAAAGGAGAAAATTCAGTTCATACAAAATTTTAAATTGAAAATATGTCTCAAATATTTTATTTACCCATCTTTGCAGTATTGGAAAATAGAGTCAAATTGCTTATCTAATAAAGGACAGTGAGATTTGAAAACTGTTTCAACACTGAATTGTATGATGCTTAAAAATTATCCACCTCAGGACCTATGTTTGGAACATTATGACTTGAATGAGGAAAATTTCCCACTTACAGTGTATTGTTATTCCATCCCTATTTTGTTATATATTTCTACAGTGGACCGACTTGCAACAGACTTTATAAAACAATTCATTAAGTATAATGATTTCACTGGATGAGCTACTGCATGATATAGCAATTTAAAAGCACACCCAAAGGAACCTCAGCAATGCCTCAGGAGTGCCATGCTGAGGGTGCAGGAACAGAGGACTGTTTGAAGGCTGCACATACCACCCTGTTCCTGGTGCAGCATCTACTACCTGATAATCCTGCAGGACTGGGGATATGGGAATGAAGTGGCAAAGTTGTTGGCTGTAAGTCTGAAGGCAGTTGGAAGTACTTAGGAGGAGGGTGGGAGTATGCTGGAGAACGTGGGCCATGCACTGCAGGTGTTGCAGCACACCTGCACTAGCTCAGGCTGGGGCAGGGCTGTGTCCTAGGGAGGGTGCTCAGACACCAGAGACCAGGCTCGTCGCTTCGGCCAGGCTGGAACTGGAAGTGGGAAGCTTGGGTCATAGCTCAGTCCCTCTAACACCCACAGCAGCTCTGGAAAAAGCACTTTGCTCTCTCTCCTTCATGGCTTGAAGGTCCTATAAACAGTGGCTGCCCCAATGGGAAATGACTTGGGAAACAGACCTGCAAGGAGCTGGGAACACAACCTTCCCCACAGCACACAGGTAGGAGCTAAAATACACAGCAACTACTGTAGGCAAGTTTCCTGTGGTAATGCAGCATTCCTACTGTACAGAGCAGAGCATCCATGCACACTAAGGGGTACTTACAGGGAACATGTTCAAAAACAGCCTGTTTTTTTCCACAACAGTTCAGGAGAATGAAGAGGATATGTGTACCATGTACTTGGGTGGAAAAAGTAGCTCCATTCCATGCAAGAGGAATACTGTACAAAGCATGGCAGTACAAAAGAGCATCACAAACTGTTAAAATAAATTAAATGTGGAAAATGTTCTAAGTGTAGCCTTGCTAGCTCCACCTCAGGGTGGGGGATACTTTCAAAAAAGTCAGCTACATAGTTAGCAGCACTACAGAAGAGGTATTACCCGACGGAAGCTGGATCCAACAGGACTGCACCCTGCAGTTCTCATCAGCACATACCTGCAGCTCTACACGTTTTACATCCTTTCTCCTTAGGGCAGTATCTTCTTGTGACTTTCAGAGGTCTGGGAGGAGGTTACAGAACTTCCTAAGCAGCATCACTTCTCATTTAAGCCTCTAAGAGGCTCACTCTATTTCACTCAATAAAGTAAATGTGAGCTTTAAAGTTTATCTCCTTTCTGCCTAACTAAATATTGCTGGTTTATTACACTTGCAAACCAAAGATGTTTTTAAAAACACCTGCTGGTAGGCAGATTGAAATATCAAACCTAATGTAACAGCTGAATATTTTGAAGGAGCATAATAACAACAACTAAAAGAAATTAGAATTGGGAAATCATTAGGATTACTTAAAATAAAGCTATTTGTTAAAGCATGATTTAATTTGTTTAGGGTTTTACACAGTTCAATGTCTGTTTTCCCACCTCCATACAAGACTTCTGGTATTTTTCCCTGTAGCCTACCTTCTGGTAAGGAGTTGCTAAGTGACTGAGAGCACAGAACATTTCTTTAAATGCCTAGAAGAAGAAAACATGAGACAAAAGCCATGACTCCACCACAAGGACTGACATAATGGCTTTCATCAGAGATAAAAAAAAAGGTGTTTTGCTGTGAAATAGAGACCAAACATTCCAAGTATATTTAGCTATGCACAATATGCCCCAATAAGTTACATTCCCTATATATTCCCTGTAGCAAGTTTGCTGTATGTACTTCAGTTAAAAGCTTTGGATTAGCATTATAAGTCATATTTAGTGTGTTTCAAACACAACCACCAAGACTGAATGCTGCATGTTTATGCATCTGCCTTGTGTTACACCTGCAATGAGGTCACACTGACAAATACCAACAGCTGAGATGGGCTGATTCCATAACAATCTGTAGGACTCTTTAGTATGTTTTCCCTTTCCAAGGGAGTGGGGAGGGAACAGGAGATGAAGGGGAGATTTCTACAGAAGTGTTTTACAGAGACATCAGTGTGTTTATTAGAGTTTCACAGAATTTGCCATACCTTCCTCCTGATTGCTGTGGCAACACGTTTTCCAAGTGTGCATGAGAGAAATCTTGGATCTTGAGTACTGTCTAGGTGAAGGTTAACATTTTCTACTCTGCTTTAAAAACAAATCACTCTTCAAAAAGTAACTGGACAAGTTACTATAAATAGCAGTATACTGCAAAAAAAATAAGCACTGTATTGCTTGTGCAGCAAGTCCATTTAAAATTCACTCCAGTAATTTAAAAAAATTAAAAAAATATCAACTTACTATAAACAATTTAAAATATGTATAATACAACTTTGTATGCTCTTCATAACATCATGAATATTCTATGTAAACAATAGATTCTGAAGAATTTCCTTCGCTCACATTAGTTTCAGTGCATCGGTTCTGTCCACCCGGTGTTTAATTTATTTAAGGGAGCTGGAATATACTGTCCCGAGGCAAAGAGCTGATTTTGTTTAGGATCTGCCTTTCTACACATCGATTTGCAGAAAGGACAAGGGACAGGGATATAATATTTGGCCCATTTTCCTCTCTGTCCATCTCCACAACCGTAGACAGGCCGAATTTTCCGAGGCCTTCTGCCACAGTACATCACGCGCACGTTCCTCAACACTGAAGACTGAGATGTTCCTTGTGACTGAAGTGGTTATTTTACACAGGTATAACATCAGAGATATCACCTCTTTATTCAGGCATATTTAAAGATACGGCTCTCCAAAAATCTTTCTGCACTCCATCACTCCAGTGCTTGGTGGTCGGTCACAATTGTGAGTGTTCTTCACTTGATTAGCCGTGAGACGATCGTAGGCCATTTTGTACTCTCTGTCAAAAGCATCTGCAGAAAGGGAAAAACAACTTTTAGGTCTTGTGCTCAAAAACACAACCCAAAGGCAGTGACAGCTACATTTATCAGCAGAAAAAACACCCTGTAAGGTCCTCTTTATTTGGCACTTAGCACAGAGCTGCACACATCTAATCTACAGAGTATTTTTCTGGAAGCTGAACAACTGGTGTGCATACATTCATCACCTAAGCTCATTTGAACAGCTGATAAACTCACCTATATCAATGTTATCTCTTCCTAGGGCAACAAGTGAAAGAAACAGTATTTCTCTGTAAAGGCTCCTGAAACAGCAAAAAAACAAAGTCAGCTTTTATACT